ACTCGGCGACGAGGAAAAGAAGGAGGAGGAGGAGGAAGAGGAGGATGACGACGACAAGGAGGAGGAAAAGGAGGAGGAGGGGATCGGACACGGAATTACAGCAGTCTGCGCGCCGTCTTGCTGAAAGGCTCTCGCCCCGAGGGCCAACGGTTGTTTCGATCACCACCCTCCCAAGCAAGGGAGGCCCAGCCCAGGCGGCCCAACGCACAAAAACGAAAAGGCGGCGGACGGCGCGAAGCGTTAGAAACGACAGCGCAGAAAATAAGGAAAGTGGCCGTCGGCCTGGAGACGATATGAAAGAGTAGCGCAACCATCGAATGTGCAATGTACCCGGCCCGTCTCACCATCTGGACAGCCACCACCAGTGGAGGATCAGGTCCATGTTTGGAAACAACGAATTGGAAGCGAACCGTACAAAGATCGTCAGGCCGACGTGCGATATCCCAGTCCTGGAGGCCATCACCAGCGGAAACGCTGGTACACCCGAATGGTCATCAGCAAACGCAACACCAGCGAAAAATAGAGTAAAACACAAATGATAATTCTTCACATCGCTATTTCACTCCATCTTCGGTGGTTCCTGGGGTGCACGAACTCTTCATGTGACGCCAAGAGTACGAATAAGCTGAAGCACCCACAAGCCATCACACAGGACCGCCTGTAACGCAATGGTAGAAAACTCCGACAGAAACATCACACTGGGTTTTACGCAATGCGAAATGCCCTCGAGGACGTGAAGTTCCAAGAGAACAGCCCACCCAAGCAAGCCTTGCGAACAAATCCGCGCGAGAGAAGCTGCAAAGCATTTCTGCCACCAACGACGGCGATGCATCTGCTCTCACACGAAGATGGCCTTTGCGTCTAGACTCCACTGCCATCGGACGAAGACATGCCGTCCGATAGTTCGAATTGTGCGCTTCTGTGGATAACATCCCAACCCCTACCCCACTCATGATGAAAGGAAGGAAGACGAGGACCAGGAGAAGAGCGACGAGGGAGGGAGACAAACAGAGCGGTTTGCAGACTGGACGCGGTGGGCCGAGCACTTTGTGGCACAAAGCAGCGCTTGGCCGGGCCGAACGATAACTTATGGCAAATTAGAACAATAGCCTGCTGAACAGCAGAGGAAGAGGAGGAGGAGGAGGAGGAGGAGGAGGAGGAGGAGAAAGAGGAGGAGGAGGAGGAGGAGGAGGAGGAGAAGGGGGGGGGAGGAGGAGGAGGAGGAGGGAGGAGGCGAGAGGGAGGAGGAGGAGGAGGAGGCGGAGGAGGAGAAGGAAGAGGAGGAGAACAGGAAGGCGAGGAGGAGGAACTGAAATTGCGGGGGGTGGGGACACGAAGGCACGGCGGCAACACGATATAAACGGACATCTTCCTTCTCCATCACAGATGCTTTCGCTCCGGCGCTTGGGCCCCGATAGCAGCAGGGCATCCTATTCGAGTCGAGATTGCGCGGGCGATCGAACAACTATGGCGGAGCAAAGGAACTGCGGAAAAGGGGGCGCCTGAACTGTCCAACCCCCGCGCACCTCCCAATCCGCATTGGATACGCGGCCGCCACCCAAGAGGCGCGCCGGGTCGGCTGAGTGCGTGCTCACTGTCACTGACTGCGCTCAGCGGGCACGCCCGCGCTCTTAGGAAAGGCACAGGGCAGCTCACCTAAGCAAGTGAAAAGCAGCAAGCCGCGCGCCGCGGCGGTGCGCGAGAGCGTTGCGCCGCTGGCCAGGGTGACCGAAGGCCGAGCCTGGAGACCAACCTCCTCGAGGCATGGCACAAGCCCTGCGAAGGCGACGACGCGGAAGGGGTGCCTTGGACGGCTCGAAGGGAGCGGGGAAGAAGGTGGAATTCACCATGAGAGCGCGCGGACGCAAATACACCGCACAGCACCTCACCGCTCAGTCCTTGTCCGACGGACTCTCCGGCGCGAGACTCGGGCTCTTTTCTGGCATCCGCGCCCTTGGCCACCGCGGGCCCTGCGGCGTCCGCGACCCGGGTGGGCGGCACCTTCTCCTCGCCCTCTTCTGACGCTGCGTTTTCCTGCGCGAAACAGCGCGGGCCTGGCCCAGCTTGCGCTTGCTCTTGAGACCTCCGCGACGGGCCCGCTTGGGAACCTCGCGGGCACAGACGCGGACGTCTCCGCATCCGTGCCCATGTCCACGCGGCCCATGTTGGTCTGGCCACCCGCGCCGCTGCCCTCGCTGATTACGCCGCCCCTCTCGCCGAACTTGGCCTGCTTGCACTGCGTCCGGCCGAAGCCGCCAAGGGGCGCCCAGCCCCCAGCGGCGCGCCTGAAGCATGGGGGCGGCCCCAGCTCGCGAACGCCCGCGCAGTTGTTGTCGGGGCGCTGCGAGCGCGCAGCAACGCCCTGGCGCCTGGGCGCGGGCGCGGCGAAACCCGGCGGTGGACCGGGCGGCCGCGGCGGCTGGGCCCCTGGGGCCGGACCAGCCTGCATCGACGGCCTGCTCTTCCGCTCGGGCGACCGGGGCCTGGATGTCCGAGGCCA